AGTGGTAGTCTGTGGGCGCTATGGCCCTGTTTGAGTGATTTCTGTGCATTCTGTGGCCCTGTTTGAGTGGTAGTCTGTGGCCCTGTTTGAGTGGTATTCTGTGTGCACTGTGGCCCTGTTTGAGTGTTTTCTGTGGATCCTGTGGCCCTGTTTGAGTGGTAGTCTGTGGCCCTGTTTGAGTGGTAGTCTGTGGGTGCCATGGCCCTGTTTGAGTGGTTTCTGTGCACTCTGTGGCCCTGTTTGAGTGGTATTCTGCGTGCACTGTGGCCCTGTTTGCATGGTATTCTGTCCTTGTCATGCCTCTTCTTCCCTTCATGTTCCTTTTTCCATATTTTCTGTGAAAAGGGGATAGGAACAGTAAAACTATACAGAAGAGAAACAAATACCAATTTCTTGTAGTGTTTATTTTGTGATGTAAAATTCTCTAGGCCTTTGACATGAAAAAAGGAAAAATAAAGAAAAAGCTTTCCACAAGTTTGGGAAAGGGAGGAAAGCCTTAGAAGAAGTAGGCAGGCTCTTTCCAGACTTGTCACCTATGCATAGACTCAGATCTGTCGCCTACACATAGATTCAGATCTGCAGACCCACATAGAGGGTTGGCAGCAGGCAGGGTTCAAGGCAGGTTGCAGGCAGGTCAAATCCTGTTGACTGTTTTGCTTGGCTTGAGTCATATTTGAAAAACATCCAAATTAGTTCAAAACATAGAAATTTTCATAATAAAAACTCAATTTTCCAGCTTTCCTTGAAGAATTGGGATCAGGGTGCTGGTGGGTTGATGGCTGCTTCTGTGAAAAGACCTGGCTCCTAGGTCATGGCCCCTCCAGCATGGGACAGGGGCCCTGGGGTGTGCCGCTGTACCTGGCCTAGAAAGTTCTGGACTTGGACTTGGACCTGGGAGACTGGGGCTGGTGCTTCCTGGTCTCTCCTCTTTACCTGCTCCTGGCAGCCCTGTGTGAGAGAGCACATCTTCAACAGGAGGCCCAGGGTACCTGCAAAAGATCAGATTCCCAGTGACGTAGGGACACGGGGACCTTTGGTCAAGTGGGCATTTGGGAAGTGGTGCTTAGTAGCAATCGTGAACATGTAAGGGAATCTCTCTGCTGCCTTCTAAGATGGAATAAACCATTCCTTTCTTTTAAAAAGATTACAGTGTGTTTTTAAAAATGTGTTTTTAAAAATCATTATTATTTTACAAGACCCGTGAAGTCCACGTGGTGCTTTATAGGGCATATCTGGCTACAGCTGGTGTACTTCTGGGTGTTTTATGGCAAATTATTCTCAGATTACCCTTTAATGCAGGAAGGTCTGCCTGTTGTCTGAGCTCCCTGGGTCATATGGAAACCCCTCTGACTTGGTGCAAAACAGCTGCCTCAGTCAGCTGTTCCAAAAAAGGAGCATTTTCAGGCTGAAGCAGCAGGAGAAGTTTTGAAATGTTGAATTACTCTTTCCTTGCCATTAAAATGTGATTTAATTTTGATACTAACAAATTGTGTAAATCTAAAGTGAAGTACTCAGAATGGAGTTTGTTAAGTGTGTTCTGGCATTACTTACAGTATGCCCTGGGGGGACATTCCCCAGGGAGGACAGCACAAAATTTCACTGACCTCCATGTCCCAGGACCTCAGCCCCGCTGGGCCAGGGTCAGGGGCCAACCCATGGGCCTCCCCCTCTTCTCTTCTGGGTCCCTGCTGAGATAAACAACAAAGGGGTCAATTGTCTGAGGCCTCCTTTTGTCTGAGGGGCTCCATGAGCCTCTCTGAATGCCAAAGTGTATCCATGCGCATGGATGAGCCATATGTATGAGTGTGCATGTGTGCATATGTTGTGATACACACGTGTGTGTGCATATGCATACATGTATGCACATGTGAATATACATGCACACAAGCACTAAAAGACTGCATGTGTGCATGTGCATGTCTGAATGTGGACAAGTATACGTGTATGTGCCTGCATGTGTGCACACGTGTGAATGTTCATGTGTGGGTGCAAGTGTTTGCACACACAGAGGCAGTGGTGAGGCTTAAAGAGTTTTTGAGTTGCAGATACGTGAGAGCAGGTGAGGGGCCTTAGAGGGGACTGACCAGATGGTGGAGGTTCCTAAGGTAGAGGAGGAAAAGCATCTCATCTCTCAGGAGATCGCACAGTTGCCTTTACCTGACATTTGCTATGGCACAAAAAGCCTAGAGATTCTCCTACCTCCCCTGCTTTCTCTGTAGGAATGAGGAAGAGCAGGCATATGGAAGCTTCTTACACGGTTCATTTGCCTCATTGGTCTGTTGCAACCTGGGGTTTCAAGGGAAGACCCACAAGAACTTTTCTACACTGTTCCAGCCTCTTCAGGCCTTCCTCATTGGACCCAGTGCATTCTACGTGATATTTCAGTTATGTTTCCAAAATGTCTGTGAAATACCCTGTTCCCATCCATCCTGGAACTGGGTTCCCATGTAGCATGGGGGTTTTTCCCCTTCCCCAGTTGTCCCGTGCCCTTGCAGGGCCTGTTCATGCAGAGGCCGGCCGGGAGCCCTGGCTGCTCTGTCATTTGGTTTGAGCCATTCCTGTCCACTGGAGTTTCTTTGATTCACACTTTCTTCCTACACAAGCTGTCCTTTTAAGAACAACAATAAAACATTCTATTCAGAAGCCAGGAAAAGACTCATAAAAACGCTTCATTGAAATTCATCTTTGTGAAAGATTCATCTTGCAGCCCCTTTAACCAGCACAGCTGTCATGAGCAACTTTTTCTGTGTGTTTTTTTCTTCTTGTCCTTCCCACCCCATTTCTTCTTCCTACGCCAGCAAGGGCTTATCTTTCAACTGTGGAGAAGCCACCAATTAAACTCTACTCCAAAGCTTATCAAAATATTCAGTCAGTAAAATTATCTTATAATTAGCCTCACTGTAAGCCAGAACGTTTTAATCCCAGGAAACGGAAAGTTATCCGGCATGTAAAATCTGTCAATTGCTCATCCTGACCTTCTGGCTACAGTTTCTGCTTTTATTTCTTTCCCAAAGTAATTTCTTCCTTGTTCTTCAAATTCTTGATTGTCTCTGAGGCATCTTCCTCTTCTGTTTGCTTAAGTTTCAAAGAAAAGTTACTCCTAGTTGAGAGAGGGAATTGAAAAATTCAGGTGAATCGCCCTGATTTCATATATTTCATGCCTTCACTTGTAGCTGTTCTTTTTGCAAACATGAGCCTCTGCTGATGGCTCGTCCTTGTTGGTCTCGTACTTTGGATGCCTGCAGTGATACGCATGGCTGAATTTTTCTGGAGCCCAGCTATTCAAACAGTATCTGGGGGTTCTGCAGGATGTCAAGCTGGACAGGGGTGTTGGACTTTCTTATTTCAACCATTTCTCTTCTCTTAGCTCTCCCTCCCCATTCACCTTTCACTGCCAGGGGACCCTCTTGTCACCCTGCACCACCTGGGACAGCACCATGAATGTGATATCCCCACCCGATCCTCTTCAGATCAGCATCAAGGGAACCATAAATGATGTTTGGGGATTTTAAGGTGGAACTTAGACTTCAGCTACAGAAATGACATTCGGATGATGCTTAAGTTCTTAACTATTGTGAGCTTCTTAAACTAGTCTTGCTGTAGGTATGAGTGGGCTAATGAGACTTACACAGGCATGTTTGACCATTCATCGCTTGTTGCATAACAAAATATTTTCAAAGTTTCCAAAACTAATTGAAAAATTAAATCTGGAATGTACTAACATTTTGATAAATGGAATATTGCCTGAATATAGTGTTACTAGTGGTAGTTATTATTTACAGAGTTTTTCCTATCTGTCACACAGTAGTCATACACATACACACACCAAAATACAAACACACAAATATACAAAAATTGTTTCATCCTTACATTAATTCTGTGAGAAAGTAATTATTCTGCCCATTTTACAATTGGGAAAATGGAGGCTCCAACAGTTTCAATAACTTGCTGATGCAACTGAACTTGACTGGCTGGCCTGACTCTTACTATCCTTTCTGTGAACTATGCAGGGCCCATGTCATGTGATTTGACCCCCACTTATGCTTGAGAGGTTTCTGCATCCCCCCTGCAGAGTAAAGAGGAAATCACAGCTCACCTCAACTTCCACTTGTTGCTGTGCCCAACAGCTGAGTGCACCATATCTTGATGTCACATGTGAATTTCAGGCTCAATTTATTTGCTGACCTCAGAGCTGAGGCTTGCTGGCCTTGAGCTTACAGGATCAGTGTGAAGGCTGTAATGATCCCATAGGGAGACTCTGGTTGAGGTGGCCTGGGCTTCACTTAGTGCTTCTAAGGTAGGAGATAGAGAAGGAACCAGCTCCCAGGACCCTGCCATGTGTGGCTGTGTTCCCCTAATGCCACCCTTGGAATCGCCACATGCTCCAATTCCATCTTTTTGTGACTGTGTCTTGGAGCAAGAAGACCTATATTTTGGAAGGCATTTCTATTGAGAGACACCTCCTGTCTAATCCACAAGTAAATATTTTATGCCTCTTTAAGTCTCTATAAAAATACAAATTTTCAGCTGGGTGCAGTGGCTCAAGCCTGTAATCCCAGCACTTTGGGAAGCCGAGGTGGGTGGATCACGAGGTCAAGAGATCGAGACCATCCTGGTCAACATGGTGAAACCCTGTCTCTACTAAAAATACAAAAAATTAGCTTGGCACGGTGGCGTGTGCCTGTAATCCCAGCTACTCAGCAGGCTGAGGCAGGAGAATTGCCTGAACCCAGGAGGCAGAGGTTGCGGTGAGCCGAGATCGCGCCATTGCACTCCAGCCTGGGTAACAAGAGCGAAACTCCGTCTCAAAAAAAAAATACAAATTTTCTTTAGGAACTAAGTTGAAACTAAATATGTCATTAACATATGTTAATTTTGAAGCATTAACTGTAGGAAATTTTAGGAATTCTTTAAAAGATAATTGTGTTAAGTTTATTTTCTTGTGAATTCTGCATATTCTTGATATTACTTAATTTGTTTTTCTCTCTTTTTAATTACAGCTTGGGTTGACGATAGCCATTCGCTATAGCCACCGGTAAATGTTTACCTTTTTGTTTCTTTTAAGAATTATCCTTACCAGTTTGTAGCTCTTGGTTTGCTGAAGTCTCAGGTTTTGAGCTTTTTTTTGGTGGCTGCTTCCCTGTGATGTCAGTGTCACAGATGGAATTGTTCTGTTGCTTGATTGGCAACAGCACATTGCTATTTAGAGGAATGAGGTCTTGTGAGAACTTGGTGGTCGATAGCACATTTCTTTTTTTTTTTAAAGGGATATTCTAGGTCATGACACAGAAGCACTATCTGGGTAATGTTCTCACTAGAAATGATGAGTTCGTGTCGTTTGTAGAGACATGGATGAATCTGGAGAACATCATCCTCAGCAAACTGACACAAGAACAGAAAATGAAACACCGGATATTCTCACTCATAGGTGGGTGATGAAAAATGAGAACACATGGACACAGAAAGGGGAGTACTAAACACTGGGGTCTATTGGGGGGAAAAGGGGAGGGCCAGTGGGAGGGGGAGGTGGGGAGGGATAGCCTGGGGAGAAATGCCAAATGTGGGTGAAGGGGAGAAGAAAAGCAAAGCACACTGCCATGTGTGTACCTACGCAACTGTCTTGCATGCTCTTCTCATGTACCCCAAAACCTATAATCCAATAAAAAATTAAAAATAAAAAAATATATAAAAAAAAAAAGAGTGAGACACTCTTAGCGTGTCCCCGAAAACAGGAACACCCTGCATGAGAGATGAGTCCCAGCAGAGAGAAACCCAGCAAGAGTTTGTCTGTGAAGCCCTAGCCACCCACTCCATGCTGGGCCTCTCTCTGTGTGTCTTAGGATGTCTGACAGTGGCAAAAATCCCCATTTTTGTCTTGCTTCATGATTTCTACCTTGGTCTCAACTGTATCACACTGATGAAAAATGTTTGTTTTTTGTGTTGGTATCAACCTTTTCCCCTTTGCATGCATCAAAATGCATTGAGATGTTAAAGTAAGATCCAGCCCTAGCAGAGGGGTGATAAGCAGGGTCCTTCCTGTCCTTACAAAAACTGTGCTCACAGCCTCCCAAAGTGCCACTCTCTGGTCATAGGCTTTGGGCTTGGGGATGTCTGCTCAGCTGCCCACAAACAACCCAGAATCACCTAATTTCAAAGCAAGTTTTCCTCCTAAAAATGCTCATAACAAGAGTATGCATGGTTTCAATATACATGCGAATTGGGCAATTGTAGGCAATCCCTGAGATCTAGAAAACTGCAGGGGAGCCATGTAGATTACAGCAGGAAGAGGGCAGGAGAGTTCTCAGCCCTTGGAATGAGACTGTGGGAAGAAACGTGCTTATGTGGGACATATCTGGAGACTTGTGAAAGAAACTGCTCCAGAGAGGCTCAAGGTCATGGAAGGGAAAGAAATATATTTTCCTGGCCCGTTGCTGGGTACATGGCTGAGTCCCCATAGAAAAGTCAGATTAACTAAAGAAAGCATGCAGATTTATTTAATACAAGTTTTACATAACATAGGAGCTCTCACAAGGAACTAAAGACCCAAAGTAACAGAGGAACCTGTATGTTTTTAATGTTAGTTTGATGGAGAAGTGGACAGTTGTGGAGATGGATAATTGGACAAAGCAGGTATGATCTAATGGTGATAAACTGGGCGGAAGATTGAGGACTTAACAAATTTAGCCTGTTTGTTCAGATTCTTCTCTGTGGTCCTGTGTCTTCAGAGATAAGTATTTCTCTGGGTATATGGAGGCTACCTCTCAAATGAGTTTTATGGCTTGTATCAGGGGAAGATGGGAAGGGGAAGGTGAGAGTGACCTTCCTGCTTCTGCTGTTTTCTCAAATGTCAAGGTGCTGTTTTCTCAAATGCTGAGGTGCCCCATCAATTGCTTGTATGTTTCCAGTTCTATCTCTGGTCTTTCATGAGGCAGATGTAACTGCTTGTCCAAGAGCTGTACTCTGTTGTATAAGGCAATCTCCACTGTCATTAGAGCCCATGGTGGGTGAAGATGGTATGTGGATGCTTGGAGTAGAAAGAGAGCCACATGTATACACTCACGTCAGCAGCCATGGGTTTCTCCTCTAGAGAACAAGCTCCTTTGTCTGCATACCCTCTAGAGCCGGCATGTGCTGGGTCTTGAGTGCCAGGCCTCAGTCAGGGTGGTCCATCTTGTGGCTATTTACTTAATATCCTCCTCCTAGACCTATGGTTCTAAACCATGGTGATTTTTGCCCTCCAGAGACATTAGGTGACATTTTGGTTGTCCAGACTTGGGGAGGTTACTACTGACTGGCAGCTATGGTGGAGAGGCCAGGGATGCTGTTAACCACCCTAAAGTGCCTGGTTTAGCTACTCACAACAAAGAGTAATCTGGCCCAAAATGGGAAGAGTGCCTGGGTAGAGAAACTGCCTTGACTGAGAGCTCCTGATGGAAAGGACAGTATTTATTCCTCTTTCTATCTTCAGGGCCTGGCAGGTATCATGAGCTCAGTTGGCCTAGGCTGAATCAAATCAGTGCTTAAAAGGCTCACATGCATGTTGGTTTTTGTGTTGATAAAATACTCTCAATATTCCCTGAGAATTTTTGTTCTATTTGTTTGCTTGTTTAAACATAGAAATTAAATCAGCTTTCAGTTAGTCATACTGGTGGGTGAGAGATAAGGGTAGTTCTTCAAAAATGGTAGATGCCCCAGAATCCACTTACTGTTGTCTGTGCAAGGATCCAGAGACACAAATGCATAGTAGGACTCACTCTCACCCACTAGAGCCAGCCCGAGGCCCTTTCTTGTTTGGTTTGCAGGCATGGGGAGGGTGTGCTCTGCCCTTCACACTCTGCAGTATATGCTGGCAGCAACTTCTGGGGGGAAGAAGAGAGGGGAAAGAAGAAATTTGCAGGCACACAGTGGGTAGAGGATAGCATTGTTGGTACAAATTCCCGACATCTTCTGCCTGTAGCTCTTTGTGATCATCTAGGCAGAACCTGGCGCATCTCCATGAAGAAGGCAGGATGTGGAGGTTCCATACCAGGTGCACTTGGGGATTCGAACTCAGGCCTCTGACTTTCAGCAAAAGACTTGTTCCCCAAAGTGTGTCACCAACACCAGCCAGGGTGCTGGGATGGTTTCCTAGGGCTCAGAGTCTTGATTCAGCCCCAGTCTCTAGGGAGGGTGCTTGTTTGCTGGCCACCAGCAGGAGGATAAAGTGGTGTTTGCAGAGTGTCAGGGCTGGAATGGCAGGCCATGCCCACGGAAGATTTTTAGTTTAAGTAATGACTGAGAGCATTAAGGAGACTTCAGGTGCGGGGATGATGTGGCAGAGGCCACTGAGACCCACCATCTGGCAGAGATCTGGAAAGCTCTTGTTCAACCCCAGGGAGAGGTGGCCAGAGGGACCAGTTTCTATTTCCTCCCTTGAGAACGAGAAGGGGACAGTGGTCCCTGTCCTCTGGCATAGAGTCAAGGAGCAGAGATTACTGCTCTGCTCAGCCTGGCACCTCACCCCCACCTTCTGTGGAATGTGTCCCACCTAAATGGCCAGCAGATGTCCCCTGGGAGGAAACTACCTACCTGTGCTTTAAGAAACTCTCCCAATTGAGAGAAATGATCTACCACAAGGGACTTATCTTGCTTGAAAGGAAACCTTTAAGAATCTTCTTTTAAATCGCATGTTTTCTGCGATGAGTGTAGGTAGGAAGAAAGGAAACATTAGGTGTTGGAGACAAACTGCTCATATGGAGGAGAATTCTGTTGTTTCATCCTTTGTACTTGTTACATCTCTTTTGTATACCAGAAAGCAAAGGTAGAAGAAAAACGCAGTGATTCTGCCAGTTGCCAACAGTTAATCCTGACCTTATAACTAGTCTTGATGTGGAGGAGACATCAGTGTGCAATGCTTTAGATGACATACTGCTTAATTGCTTCCTCATTTAACTGTCATAGCCCCTAAAATGGGTGTTACTAATTTTGTTTTAGAGATAAGGGCACTAATGCTCAGAGACGTTGGGGGTTGTCCAAGGCCACATAGCCACTTAATGAAAACCATGTTCTTTCTAGCATTTTAGGAATCTCTGTTGACCTGGGCAGAGCTCTGAATGAGAGACACCATTTGAGAAAAGGCACCAAACAAATCAAAAAGCAACTTTACAAGAGAAGATACAAAAGTGTACCTGATTGCTTGCCAAAGAAATAAAATAGATGATACGTACTGTGAAATACAGCAATTTCTCTTTATCCTTTATCCCATGCTTTGCTTTCTGTGGTTTCAGTTACCTGCATTCAATCTTGTTTTGAAAATATTAAGTGGAAAATTTCAGAAACAACTTATGAGTTTTAAATTGTGTACCATCCTGAGTAATGTGATAAAATCTGAAGCCATCCTGCTCCATCCCATCCTTAATGGAATCCTCCTCTTGTCTAGATTACCCACACATTAATCACTTAGTAACTGTCTCAGTTACTAAGTTAACATCATATGTAATGTTGAAAGATTGAATGCTTTCTACCTAAAATTAGGAACAAAACAAGAATGTCTACTTTTTCCATGTCTATTCAACATCATGTTGAGGTTCTAGCCAAGACAAGTAGGCAAGGAAAATAATAAAAGTCACGTAAATTGGAGAGGAAGAAGTAAGCTATCCCTTTTTGCAGATAATGTGCCTTCATATATAGAAAATCTTACAGAATCTACCAAAAATTTATTAGAAATAACATTTTCAGCAAGATAAATCAATAAATAAAAATCAATTGTATTTCTATAGGCTAGCAATGAACAATCCAGAAATGAAATTAAGAAAATAACTCAATTTATAATAGCATCAAAAAGAATAAAATACTTAAGGGTACTTTTAACGGAGAAGTTAAAGAAGATGTGAATATATGGAATATATATGTTCATGGATCAGAAGATGTAATGTTGTCAAGGTGACAATACTCCCCAAATTAATCTACAGATACAACGCAATCTCTATCAAAATCCCAGAAGCCTGTCTTTTTAGAAACTGACAAGCTGATCCTAAAATTTGTGGAAATATAAACAACAATCTTGAGAAGGAGTAACCAAGTTGGAAGACTCAGATTTCTCAATTCAATAACTTAATACAAAACTGCAGTAATCTAGACAGTGTGGCACTGGAATTGAATAGATATGTAGGTCAATAAATTTAAATCAAGAGCACAGAAATAAATCCCTAAATTTGTGGCCAATTTATTTTTTACAAAGATGCTAAGACAATTCAATGAAAGAATGGTCTTTTCAATAAATGGTGCTAGCGCAACTGGATATTGATATGCAAAAAATGAAGTTGGACCCGTATGCAACAGTTAAAATGGAGCACGGGCCTAAATTTAAGACACAAGACAATAAACCTCTTAGAGGAAAACAGGAGCAAATCTTTGCAACTGTAGGTTAGGCAGTGGTTTATTAGAAAGAATACCAAAAGCACAATTACAAAAGAAAAATAGTATATGCCTTGGACTTCATAGGAAGTAAAATATTTTTTGTGCTTCAAAAGTCACCATCAAGAAAATGAAAGATAATCCATAGAGTAGGTGAAAATATTCTGAATTATATATCTGGTATATACATCTGGACTTGCATCTAGAACATATATGAATTCTTGCAGTTCAACAATAAAATGGCAAATAATTCAATTGGAAAATGGACAAAGATAAGATCCAAAGGTATTTCTCCAGAGAAGATGTACAAATAACCAATAAGCACATGAAAAAGTACTAAAAATCAAGCATTCCTATACACCAATAACAGACTTAAAGAGAGCCAAATCAAGAACAAACCACCATTCACAATTACTACAAAGAGAATAAAATACCTAGGAATACAACTTACAAGAAATGTAAGGAACCTCTTCAAGGAAATCTACAAACCACTGCTTAATGAAATAAGAGAGGACACAAACAGATGGAGAAACATTCCATGTTCATGGTTAGGAAGAATCAATATCATGAAAATGGCTATACTACCCAAAGTAATTTACAGATTCAACACTATCCCCATCAAGCTACCATTGACTTTCTTCACAGAACTGGAAAAAACCACCTAGAACTTCATATGGAACCAAAAAAGAGCCCGCATAGCCAAGTCAATTCTAAGCAAAAAGAACACAGTGGGAGGCATCACACTACCAGACTTCAAACTATACTACAAGGCTGCAGTTATCAAAACAGCACGATCCTGGTACCAAAACAGAGATGTAGACCAGTGGAACAGAACAGAGGCATCGGAGGCAACACAACATATCTACAACCATAAAATCTTTGATAAACCTAACAAAAACAAGCAATGGGGAAAGGACTCCCTGTTTAATAAATGGTGTTGGGAAAACTGGCTAGCCATGTGCAGAAAGCAGAAACTGGACCCCTTCCTGACACCTTACACTAAAATTAACTCCAGATGGATTAAAGACTGAAACATAAGACCTGGTACCATAAAAACCCTAGAAGAAAATCTAGGCAAAACCATTCAGGACATAGGAGTAGGCAAGGACTTCATGACCAAAACATCAAAAGCATTGGCAACAAAAGCCAAAATAGACAAATGGGACCTAATCAAACTCCACAGCTTATGCACAGCAAAGAAACAGTCACTAGAGTGAATCAGCAACCAACAGAATGGGAAAAATTTTTTGCAGTTTACCTATCTGACAAAGGGCTGATATCCAGAATTTACAAAGAACTCAAACAGATTTACAAGAAAAAAACAAACAAGCCCATTCAAAAATGGACAAAGGATATGAACAGACACTTTACAAAGGAAGACATACATGAGGCCAACAAACATGAAAAAATGCTCATCGTCACTGGTCATCAGAGAGATGCAAATCAAAACTACATTGAGATACCATCTCATGCCAGTTAGAATGGCGATCATTAAAAAATCTGGAGACAACAGATGCTGGAGAGGATGTGGAGAAAAAGGAACACTTTTACACTGTTGGTGGAAGTGTAAATTAGTTCAACCATTGTGGAAGACAGTGTGGCGATTCCTCAAGGCCTTAGAAATAGAAATTCCATTTGACCCAGCAATCCCATTACTGGGTATATATCCAAAGGACTACAAATTATTCTACTATAAGGACACATGCACATGAATGTTCATTGCAGCACTGTTTACAATAGCAAAGACCTGAAACCAACCCAAATGCCCATCGATGATAGACTGCATTGGGAAAATGTGGCACATATACACCATGGAATATTATGCAGCAATCAAAAATGATGAGTTTGTGTCCTTTGTAGGGACATGGATGAATCTGGAGAACATCATTCTCAGCAAACTGACACATGAACAGAAAATGAAATACTGCATATTCTCACTCATAGGTGGGTGATGAACAATGAGAACACATGGACACAGGGAAGGGAGTACTACCCACTGGGGTCTATCGGGGGGAATAGGGGAGGGACAGTGATGGGGGGGAGCTGGGGAGGTATAGCTTGAGGAGAAATGCCAAATGTGGGTGAAGGGGAGGAAGGCAGCAAAACACACTGCCATGTGTGTAACTATGCAACTGTCTTGCATGTTCTGCACATGTACCCCAAAACCTAAAATGTAATAATAAATAAATAAATAAATAAATAAAAATCATTATTTGTCAAGGAAGTAAAAAGCGAAACAACAATCAGATAAAACTTCACATCCACTAGGATGGCTATAAAGAAAAAGATAATAACAAGTTGACAACTATGTAGTGAAATAGAAACCCCATACATCGCTCGTGGGTATGTAAAATGGTATAGTTCCTTTGGAAAACAGTTTGGCAGTTCTCCAAAATATTAAACATGAAATTACCATATAACACAGCAATTCTACTCTTAGGTATATACCCCAGAGAAATGAAAACATATATGTGCACATGAATGTTCATAGTGACATTTTTTATAATAATGAAAATGTAGAAACAATCCAGATGTCCATGGATTCACAGATGGGTAAACAAAATCTGGCACATTCACATAGTGGAATACTGTTTGGCAATAAAAAAGAATGAAGTACTGATACATGCTATAACATGGATAAACCTTGAAAACATTTTGCTAAGTGAAAGAAGCTAGTTACAAAAATCATGCAGTATAACTCTATTGATATAAAATTTCCAGAATAGTCAGGTTGATAGAGATGGAAAGTAAATTGCTAGGGACTGAAGGGTAAAGGAGGTGTAATAGGCCAGTCTTGAATTGCTATAACGAAACTCCTGAGGCTGGGTAATTAATGAAGAAAACAGGTTTAATTGGCTCATGGTTCTCAGGCTATGCAAGCATGGCGCAGGCATCTGCTCTGCTCCTGGGTAGGCCTCAGGGAGCTTTTCTTCATGGCAGAAGGTGAAGTAGGAGCAGGCATGTTACATGGTGCAGGAGCAAGAGAGAGTAGGGGAGGTGCCACACACTTGAAACAATTAGATCTTGTGAGAACTCACCCCAGTGAGGACAGCATATTGCCAGGAGGAATCCACCCCCTTGACCCAAATACCTCCAGCCATGTCCCACCTCCCAAATTGGGGATTACAATATGAGATGTGGAGGGGACATCCAAACTGTATCAGAAGAATATGAGGAGTAATTGCTAATAGGTATAGACTTTCTCTTTTGGGTGATGAAAATATTCTAAAATTATATGGTGATGGTTGCACAACTCCCTACATATATTAGAAACCACTAAATTGTACACTTTAAAAGTATGAATGCTGTGATATGTGAAATATAGCTAATAAAACTATTGAGAAAGAGAAAGGAGAAAAAAAGAAATCAGATGGTGTGAGTCCTCTTAAGTATTTTTTTTTTCTCTCAAAATTATCTTGCTATTCTAGATTCTTTGCAAGTCTGTTTAGATTTATTTGTGATTGCATGGATTCTATAAAGCAATTTGGGCAGTATTGTGTCTTTTAGATTAATGAAGCCGATATATCTCTTCTAAGTAATGTTTAGTAACTTACAATGTAGAAATCTTGTACATTTTCCACTAAATGTAGTTAAAAGGCATTGATTTTTAATTAATTCCCAATTGTTTGTTAAAATTTAATGGAACTATAACTCATTATTTTGTATTAACCCTTATTGTCGCTAAATTTACTTATTAGTAATTTCTTTGTAGGCCATTTAGAATTTTCTACATATACAATGTATCACATACGAGTAAAGAGATTTTTACTTATTTTTTCCACTATTTATGATTTTTTGATTTTTATTTTGTTTTGGTTTTGCCTTATTAGACTGGACAAAACCTTCACCACAATATCAAGTAGCAAAGGTGAGAGAGGACATCTATATTGTTCTTGACTTCAGGTGAAAATGCGTGCAGTATTTCACCATTAACATGAACGTTCACTGCAGATTGTTATTGCCTTTCTTGTTTCTTTTAATTTTTAACTCTTGTGGGTATATACGAGGTGTTATATTTAAGGGGTAGGTGAGAGGTTTGCGATTTGAAATAAGCACATCACAGAGAATGGAGTATCCATCCCAAGCATTTATTCTTTGTGTTACAAACAATCCGATGACATTCTTTTAGTTATTTAAAAATGTTCAATTAAGTTATTACTGACTGTAGTCACCCTGTTTTACTATTAAATAGTGTAGGTCTTATTCATTCTTTATAACCATATGTTTTTGTTATTGTTGTTGATGCCCTTTATTAGACTGAGGAAATTCCCTTTAATTCCTATCTGGCTGAGTGTTTTGTTCATGTATGTTCAATTTTGACACAATTTTTCTTTCTCTATTTAGATGGTCATATGATTTTTCTCCTTCGTTCTATTAAATGAGTTACCTTGCTTTTCAAATTTTGAGCCAATTTTCATTCTTTAAAATCTTTGGTCATGTGCCATATATATATATATTTTAACGGAATTTTGCTCTTGTTGCCAAGGCTGGAGTGCAATGGGGTAATCTTGGCTCTCTGCAACCTCCACCTCTTGGGTTCAAGCGATTCTCCTGCCTCCGCCTCCCAAGTAGCTGGGATTATAGGCATGCGCCAGGCACCACGCCCAGCTAATTTTTTGTAGTTTTAGTAGAGACGCGGTTTCACCATGTTGGTCAGGCTGGTCTGAACTGCCGACCTCAGGTGATCCGCCCACCTCGGCCTCCCAAAGTGCTGGGATTGCAGGCGTCAGCCACCGTGCCCGGTATTCTTCTTTTTTCTTTTCTTTTCTTTTTTTTTTTTGAGATTAAGTCTTGCCCTGTCACCCAGGCGGATTGCAATGGCGCGATCTTGGCTCACTGCAACCTCTGCCTTCAGGGTTCAAACAATTCTCCTGCCTCAGCCTCCTGAATAGCTGGGATTACAGGCGCCTGCCACCATGCCTGGCTAATTTATTTTTTATTTTTATTTTTGGAGATGGAATATCACTCTTGTTGCCCAGGCTGGAGTGCAATGGCAGGATCTTGGCTCACTGCAACCTCCGCCTCCCAGGTTCAAGCTATTCTTCTGCCTCAGCCTCCCGAGTAGCTGGGATTACAGGCATGTGCCACCACGCCCGGCTAATTTTTTGTATTTTTAGTAGAGACAGGTTTCTCCATGTTGGTTAGGCTGGTCTTGAACTCCCGACCTCTGGTGATCCGCCCACCTCGGCCACCCAAAGTGCTGGGATTATAGGCCTGAGCCACTGTGCCTGGCCGCATTATATATTTTTTAAGTTAGAGTTAATTGACAAATGTTTTTGATAAGGATTTTTGTGTGTATGTTCATATGGAATATTGATTTATAATTTTTTTACTGGAAATTTTCTTGGAAGTTTTTGATATCTTCCAAGAAAAGTGTTGTATTGTCTTCATAAAAGAAACAGGAAAGCTGTCTCTTCTCCTCTATTTTTCTTAAGGAGTTTACATAAGATTGCTCTTATTTCTTTCTTAAAAGCCTGATAGTATTTACTAAGATGGTATGGATATGGGTTTTTTAATTTTTTTATTGGAAAGTTTTTAATGACTTTATTAATTTCTTTAACAAATATGAGTCTTTACTCTTGCCAGTTTTTTCTCTTGTCAGTTTTGTTACCCTGTATTTTTTGAGGAATTTGTTCTTTTTTTTTTTTTTTTTTACTAATTGAATATCCTTTAGTAAATGAATTATCTTACTGAGCTGACATTTCTTTTTTTTTTTTGTCATTTCTTTTTTTTTTTAATTTTTTATTGGATTATAGGTTTTGGGGTACATGAGCAGAGCATGCAAGACAGTTGCGTAGGTACACACATGGCAGTGTGCTTTGCTTTTCTTCTCCCCTTCACCCACATTTGGCATTTGTTCTTTACTAATTTGTAAAATGTAAATATTAATAATTTTCCTTATTATAATATTAATGTCTGTAAGATCTGTGTCAATGTTACTTCTTTTATTTGGAAAAGAAAAAAATTTTTGGCTTCTTTTTTTTCTCTGCCAATTTTGCTAGGTATTTTTCAGCCTAGTTAATCTTTTCAAATAACCTACTTTGCCTTGGATGCTTTTCTCAAAGATTTTTTTCCCATACTTTAAGTTCTGAGTACACCTGCAGATCTTGCAGGATTGTTGCATAGGTATGCACGTGCCATGGTGGTTTACTGCTCCATTGCCCCGTCACCTACATCAGACATTTCTCCTAGTGTTATAAAGTTGTTCTTCAAAACCAATGAGAAGGAAGACACAATGTACCAGAATCTTTGGAACACATTTAAAGCAGTGTCTAGAGGGAAATTTATAGCTTTTCTTAAACTTATGTTCATTTTCTGTGTTACTGATTTAAGTCCTTGTCTATTCTTTTTCACTTTTATTTTCTTGGATTCTATTTCTGGCTTCTGAAAGTGGAAGCTTAAGTTATTGATCTTAAACATTTCATTCTTTCTAAAATAAAAATTTAATACTATGTATTTCATATATCATAATTTCATAAGTCAAATATTTTTCTATTGTTTTTAGTTCTTCTTTGACCTATGAGCTATTTAGAAGTGTGTGGTTTAATTTTCCAATAAGGCATTTTCCAGATACTATTTTGTTACTGATTTCTAACTTAATTCTACTTTGGTCAGAAAACACACCCTCTATTTTTTCAATCTGTGGAAAATGGATACTTGTTTTATCTTCATGTGTGATGTATGCTGGTAAATATTTCATGTGTACTTAAGAGCACATAATAAGCCCTTGTTGGATGTAAGTTCTACAAATATAAAGTAGAGCAAGTGGTTAAAATGTTTTTGGAATATTCAATACACTAACTGATTTTTTGTATTTTTTATATCCTTACTGATTTTTTTGTTTGCTTACTATGGCTGTGAGAAGAATGTTAACATTTCTAACAATGATTGTGATCTTGTTTATTGTTTTCTATTTTTGTTATTTTTCCTTTGTGTACTTTTAAACTTCATTACTTAGCATACACGGATTTTGGATTGTTGTGTTTTCTAGAGAAATTTAGCTTCTCATATTTGTTAAATGCCTTTTCATTTCTGATAATTTTTCTCTTTTCTTTAAGTCTACATTCTTTGTTATTGATATAGACATACCATTTTTCTTATGCGTCATCCTTTCATGGTATATCTTTTAATTTTAATAAAAGATATTTTAATAAAGAGCATGTGATAACATTTTGCTATTTACTCAGTCTGATCATCTTTTACTTTGGAGTGTTTAGCCCATTTTAATTTACTATAAATTTTCATTTGGTTGGATAGGTCTACCATTTTGCTCCTTGCTTGGCATTTGTTCTATATTTTCATAGTTTTTTCATTTTTCCTTTTTGTTCCTTTTTAGGGATTATTGAGTATTTTTAGAATTCTAATTTATCTTCTCTCTTAGCTTTTGTATTTTATTTTTTATTTATTTTTATTTTTTTGAGATGGAGTTTCACTTTTGCTACCCAGGCTGGAGTGCAATGGCATGATCTCGGCTCACCGCAGCCTCCGCCTCCTGGGTTCAGGCAATTCTCCTGCCTCAGCCTCCTGAGTAGCTGGGATTAAAGGCACACGCCACCATGCCCAGCTAATTTTTTGTATTTTTAGTAGAGACGGGGTTTCACCATATAGACCAGGATGATCTCGATCTCTTGACCTCGTGATCCACCCGCCTTGTATTTTATTTTTTTTAAGATACAGCAACTTGCTATATTGCCCAGGCTGATCTCAGAATTCTGGGCTTAAATGATTCTGTTGCCTTAGCTTCCTGAATAGCTGGGATTGTAGATGTGGGCCACCACACCCAGCTCTCTTGCCTTTTACTTGTACTTCTCTGCTTTTTCTTTTTCCTAGTGAGTACTCTAAGTATGGTAATTTTCACATTGTCATTATCCACCTTTAATTGATATTTTACCACTTTATATACATTGCAAACTTAGAATAGAATTTCATTCATTGCTTTCCATTCTTTGTGCTACTATTGTCTTATTTTTTCTACATATATTAAAAACCACCTAGTACATTGTTATTGTTTTTATTTTTTTATTTATTTATTTTTTATTTTTTTATTTTTTTTTAAATTTTTTATTGGATTATAGGTTTTGGGGTACATGAGCAGAGCATGCAAGACAGTTGCGTAGGTACACACATGGCAGTGTGCTTTGCTTTTCTTCTCCCCTTCACCCACATTTGGCATTTCTCCCCAGGCTATCCCTCCCCACCTCCCCCTCCCACTGGCCCTCCCCTTTTCCCCCCAATAGACCCCAGTGTTTAGTACTCCCCTTTCTGTGTCCATGTGTTCTCATTTTTCATCACCCACCTATGAGTGAGAATATGCGGTGTTTCATTTTCTGCTCTTGTGTCAGTTTGCTGAGGATGATGTTTTCCAGATTCATCCATGTCCCTACAAACGACACGAACTCATCATTTCTGATTGCTGCATAATATTCCATGGTGTATATGTGCCACATTTTTCCAATCCAGTCTATTATCAATGGGCATTTGGGTTGATTCCAGGTCTTTGCTATTGTAAACAGTGCTGCAATGAACATTCGTGTACATGTGTCCTTATAGTAGAACGATTTATAGTCTTTTGGAAATATACCCAGTAATGGGATTGCTGGGTCAAATGGAATTTCTATTTCTAAGGCCTTGAGGAATCGCCACACTGTCTTCCACAATGGTTGAACTAATTTACACTCCCACCAACAGTGTAAAAGTGTTCCTTTTTCTCCACATCCTCTCCAGCATCTGTTGTCTCCAGATTTTTTAATGATCGCCATTCTAACTGGCGTGAGATGGTATCTCAATGTGGTTTTGATTTGCATCTCTCTGATGACCAGTGACGATGAGCATTTTTTCATATGATTGTTGGCCTCATATATGTCTTCTTTCGTAAAGTGTCTGTTCATATCCTTTGCCCACTTTTGAATGGGCTTGTTTGTTTTTTTCCTGTAAATCTGCTTGAGTTCTTTGTAAATTCTGGATATCAGCCCCTTGTCAGATGGGTAGACTGCGAAAATTTTTTCCCATTCTGTTGGTTGCCGATCCACTCTAGTGACTGTTTCTTTTGCCGTGCAGAAGCTGTGGAGTTTCATTAGGTCCCATTTGTCTATTTTGGCTTTTGTTGCCAATGCTCTTGGTGTTTTGTTCATGAAGTCCTTGCCTACTCCTATGTCCTGGATAGTTTTGCCTAGATTTCCTTCTAGGGTTTTTATGGTGCCAGGTCTTATGTTTAAGGGTTGTTTAATGAGCTGTGTTGCAGCAGAATCAAACATAGCAGCCTAACAGCCCTGAATGAACAACAGAGTGCACAGCTCAGCAATTAAACCCCTATAAAGTACAAACTGTCTCCTCAAGCAGCTCCCTGACCCCTCTATATCCAAAAGACTGTCATTAGGCAGGCATCATCCTGGGACAAAGAGAGCAGAAAAAGAAACTGGTAGCATCCCTCGCTGTGCCACGGCTACTAGAGGTGCACCCCAGACAAGCAGGGTCTGGAGCGGACCTCAACAGTCGTACAGCGAAGGGGCTAGACTGGTAGAAGGAAAACCAAGCAACAGAAATACTTCATCATCAACATTCTGGGTGTCCACTCAGAGACCCAAACGAAAAGTCAGCAACTACGCAGACGACCAGCGGACAAATCCACAAAGATGGGAAGAAACCAGCGCAAAAAGGAGGAAAACACCCGAAACCAGAACACCTCGCCTCCTAGAAAGGACCAAAACTCCTCACCAGCAAGGGAACAAAGCTGGACGGAGAATGACTGTGACGAAATGACGGAATTAGACTTCAGAAGATGGATAATGAGAAACTTTTGTGAGCTAAAAGATCATGTATTAAATCAATGCAAAGAAACTAAGAACCTTGAAAAAAGATTTGAAAAAAGATTCGAGGAAATGATAACAAGAATGGATACCTTAGAGAGGAATATGAATGAATTAAAGGAGCTGAAAAACACAATACGAGAACTTCGCGAAGCAAACGCAAGTTTCAATAGCCGAATTGACCAAGCAGAAGAAAGAATATCTGAAGTCGAAGATATTGTTTTTATTTTAAGCAGTCATCTTCACTTTAACATCTTATTCTGAAATACCTTTAGTCTTACAGAATAATTGCAAAGAATACAGAAGGGTTCCATATATTCTTCACTCAACTTCTCTAATGTTATCATTTTACACAATCATGGTACAGTTATCAGAACAGGAAATTAACATTTATACAATATACTAACTTAATTACAGTGTTGATTTGGATTTCCCCAGTTTTTCCACTAATGTTACTTTTCTATTCCAGGATCCAGGACAGAATACAACTTTACATTTAGTTGTCAGGTGTCCTTAGTCTCCTCTAATCTGGAAAAATATCTTAGTCTTTTATTGTTTTTCATTGTCTTAACACAATCTTTTTCTAATTTAAAACTTTTGTGGTACACAATAGGGATATATATATATATATATTTACAGGTTACATGAGATATTTTGATACAGGCATGCAATGTACAATAATCACATTAGGATAAATAGGGCATCCATCACCTCAACCATTTATCCTTTATGTTGCAAGCAATTCAATTATACTCTTTTAGTTATTTTTAAATGAACAATTAAATTTTTTTTTACTGTTACCACCCTGTTGTGCTAGCAAATACTACGTCATATTTATTTATTTATTTTTGCCTTACCCCTTTGAAGTGTACTGGCAAGGTATTTTGATTGGATCTATGTGGTGTTTTCTCACCAATCAAACTGAGATTATGAATATTTGGAAGGAAAAGCACAAAAATGATGTGCCCTTGTTATCACTTCATATTCTGGATACATGATATCAGAGTGTCTTATTACTGGTGTTAAGCTTGATCACTTGGTTAAGGCAGTGTCAGCTAGCTTTATTCACGGAAAAGTTACTATTTCCCTGTTTCCATACTCTATTTTTAAAAAAATAAGTCACTAAATCTAGCCCAAACTAAAAAAGAATTAAGCTCCATATCCTGAAGAGAGGAGTGTCAAAATATTTGTGGCAACAAATTAAAACCACTATGGTAATTAATAGTACTTGTGCGTGGGGGGATATTTTGATGCTTTGCAAGCATTCTGTTTCTCTTTAAAGTCATACCCAATAATTTAAGCATCCATCAATGGATCTTACCTGAACCGGTTATTATCAGTACTTTAATGATAATTTTCTGTTTCTCAACAGCAGACACACACACACACACACACACACACACACACACACACACACGGGGGAAGAGAGAAGAGAGAGATTCTTCTGTAATAAAGAGTCGTCTCTTTTTCTATTTATTTACTTAATCATTTATTTATATCAGTTTGGATTCATGGATATTTATATTACTCTTTGAATTATAATTCATTACTATCATTACTTACTTAGTTTATTTAATTTTTACAGCTTTGGCCATTGGGAGCCCTGCTCAACCTCCGCCTCCTGGGTTCAGGCAATTCTCCTGCCTCAGCCTCCTGAGTAGCTGGGATTACAGGCACGCGCCACCATGCCCGGCTAATTTTTTGTATTTTTAGTAGAGACGGGGTTTCACCATGTTGACCAGGATGGTCCCGATCTCTTGACCTCGTGATCCACCCGCCTCGGCCTCCCAAAGCGCTCGGATTACAGGCTTGAGCCACCGCGCCCGGCCCGGTACTTTGGGTTTTTAAAGACTTCGTGGGATACTAATCCCTAGGCATCACCTTCACTCCACCTTAGTCCTTCTCAGCACACTCTCAGAAGTTGGAACATCGTTATCCTTGTAAGAAATACCAAGCTTATTTTGATTATTAAGCAATTATTTCTTCTCTTCTTGCTGGTGGGTGGGGCAGTTTGGTTTGGGTAGTGTTATACTTTTGTCTAAATATTTGAGTGAAACTGCTTTTTTGCTATTGAGTGGGCTGGTTACTAGCAGGTTGGTTTTTCCTGCTGTTGATTGTTACTATTGGCATTAACTTTTAGAATATGAGCTGGTGAGATTAATTTGTTTTAATATCCCAGCTAGACATATGGCCTTTAACTGACCTAGAGAGGTTTGTTGTGATTTAATTTTTTCCCTGTTCCTTTTTCATCAGTAAACCCAAAAATAGTCTAACCTTAAAAATTGAGTTGATGTCCTTATAGGTCACTACACCTAAATAAACCTGAAGCAGGTGTTTTCTGTTGAACATATTAAAAAATACCTAAAGGAAGCTTAGATGGACTGTGACGTAATAGATGCAATTAATGTCAGCCAGTGCCAGCTGTTAAAAGTGTAACCACTGAGCTTTTGATTTTACAGGAAAAAATATCTAGGCAGTATTTTTGAGAGTAACATAGCTGTGCTATTGCATATCTGTTGGAGAGCATCCCAGATTTGCTTACACTCTGTGCCTATGATACTGAGTTTAAGGATTTAAGGCAGGGGTAATTGTTAAACATATTGCTTCTATTCTTGGAAAAGCAGAAGTGTAAAGTGTTAATAATACAAATGGCACTGTGACCTCCTCCACTGAGAGGACTGGTTTATGCCAGATCATTTTCTGGCACACAGGGAGTGGCTTTGACAGGTTGATAACTTTGTAAGATGGGAGACATCTGAAATATTTATGTTTTCCTCTTGTAGTCCCATCTCCACCAGTTAGAAATTTTCTCAGACTTTAAAATAATGCAAGGGCTTGAGCTTTCTGTCATTTGACTTTAAAAGGAAGTTTCCTTCATAGTATTTATCCTCTTATGTAAAATTCTGGTATAAAAGTCTCATCTCCAAATATGTTAAATGACAAAATTATTTTATAAAATGTTGATGCACACTTTATAACCTTAAGTTTTTGAGAATGCGAAAGTACAAAGAGCAGTAGACTTCAACAGCCGTGAGTGCCAAGAATAATACAGAAAAAGAAGACAGCTGGTGAAGGAGTTTATAGAGTTCTGATCTTAAGATGGTAAGAATGTAAAAAGACCTTGCTGGTTTTTGGGGGATGTTCACTTCTTAAACAATCCAAATCTAAGCTTAGAAGAAAAGTTTAGCAGTAAGCACCTTTATCTTCAGCTTGCTCTTGCCAAGAGAAGAGTGCTTGAGTTACAGAAAGTGTAATTATTGTGAAGAATACAGCAGCCTTTTTGTCAACTTTCCAGATATCAAAATGGACTTTGATATATAAATGGTTTTCTGAGATGACACTGCCTCTATTTCTATAACCATTTCACCTGGACTATCTAATCAGTCCTATGAATGTGTCCCTAAATGTGGTTATTGAAAACCGAATAGCTGCCTCATGACAAGTACATGTTATTTAAGGAGGAAAAAATATTAAATTTTGAATTGTGTAGGCTCCCTATCAATATATATAGAGTTTCTTTTTTCCACACTAGTCAGTGACTTAAACAATTAACCTTTTATAAACATATAAAAGGTTAATTGTTCTATATCAAACTTATATTAAATAATTCCATCCACTTATGGAGGAGAAGGAGAAAAATGTGGAAGAGGTAAAAAGCCGGGCAAACTTCATATGCCTATGAGTTAGTAAAGATCGAACTAATGTCCCATGTTGAGCTGATTATTTTGATATATGATAATAATTATCTTTGAAGTAGAACAATTCTGTTAACTAGAAAATCACAGGATATATCCATCATATTTTTCAGGACAAATAGTTTTTACTGTGGGGCAAATAGGTTAAAATTACACTTTATGGTATTTGCATTTAGGTTTTAAAGCAAAGAATCTGTAGAGAAATCTATGCAATATATAGTTTGTCCAGATTAGTTTTCATTTGGGAGAAGTTCTGAAATATCTCTAAAGCAGTTTGTTTACTCATCAACTGAAAAGTCCTCCAAAAAGAGAACTATTGGGAAACCATGGTGTGTGGTGGTGGAAAAGAAAAGCTCCCCCAGTTTTTTGGAGGGAATAACTTTAAAAAAAAACTTAAATGGCTAAGTTTGCTTGGTGCAGTTAAGAATTAAACTTGTCAATTTTAACATTGCCGTTACATTTGAAATAAACTTATGTGTTGTTCTGTTAAAAAAAAAGATATAAATGACTTATGCATACTGTGATTTAGTCTATGGATTTATTCTGAAATTGCTAAAATGTCACCATATAGTGACCATGAAAACCCCTTTAAAAAGATCAATGAATCCAGGAGCTGTTTTTTTTTTTTATAAAATTAACGAAATAGATAGACTGCTAGCTACACTAATTAAGAATAAAAGAGAAGAATCAAATAGACATAATAAAAAACAATAAAGGAGATATCACCATTGATCCCACAGAAACACAAACTACTATCAGAGAGTACTATAGACACCTCTACACAAATAAACTAGAAAATCTAAAAGAAATTAATAAATTCCTGGAAACATACATCCTCCCTAGACTAAACCAGGAAGAAGTTGAATCACTAAATAGACCAATAACAAGTTCTGAAATTCAGGCAGTAATTAATAGCCTACCAACCAAAAAAAAGCCTAGGACCAGACAGATTCACAGCCAAATTCTACCAGATGTACAAAGAGAAGCTGATACCATTTCTTCTGAAACTATCCCAAACAATTGAAAAGGAGGGACTCCTCCCTAACTCATTTTATGAGGCCAGCATCATCCTGATACCAAAACCTGGCAGAGACCCAACAAAAAAGAAAACTTCATGCCAGTATCCCTGATGAACATTGATGCGAAAATCCTCAATAAAATTCTAGCAAACTGAATCCAGCAGCACATTAAAAAGCTTGTCCACCACAAGCAAGTTGGCTTCATCCCTGGGATGCAAGGCTGGTTCAACATATGCAAATCAATAAACATAACCCATCACATAAACAGAACCAATGACAAAAACCACAATTGTCTCAATAGATGTAGAATAGGCCTTAGATAAAATTCAACATCCCTTCATGTTAAAAACTCAATAAATTAGATGTTGATGGAACATGTCTCAAAATAGTAAGAATTATGTATGACAAACCCATAGCCAATATCATACTGAATGGGCAAAAGCTGGAAGTGTTCCCTTTGAAAACTGGCACAAGACAAGGATGCTCTCTCTCACCGCTCTTATTCAACATAGTATTGGAAGTTCTGGCCAGGGCGGTCAGGCAACAGAAAGGAATAAAGGGTATTCAGATAGGAAGAGAAAAGGACAAATTGTCCCTGTTTGCAGATGACATGATTCTATATATAGAAAACCCCATTTTATCAGCCCAAAAGCATTTTAAGCTGATAAGCAACTTCAGCAAAGTCTCAGGATACAAAATCAATGTGTAAAGATCACAACCATTCCTATACACCAATAATAGACAAACAGAGAGCCAAATCATAAATGAACTCCCATTCACAACTGCTGCAAAGGAAATAAAATACCTAAGAATACAGCTTACAAGCAACATGATGGACCTCTTCATGGAGAAATACAAACCACTCTTCAGGAAAATAAAAGAGGACACAAACAAATGGAACATTTCATTCTCATAGGAAGAATCAATATTGTGAAAATGGGCATAATGCCCAAAGTAATTTATAGATTCAATGCTATCCCCATCAAGGTACCACGGACTTTCTTTACAGAAATAGAAAAAACTACTTTAAATTTCATATGGAACAAAAAAAGAGCCCGTATAGCCAAGACAATCCTAAGCAAAAAGAAAAAAGCTGGAGGCATCAAGCTATCTGACTTCAAACTATACTACAAAGGCTACAGTAACCAAAACAGCATGATATTGGTACCAAAACAGGTATATAGACCAACGGAACAGGGCAGAGAACTCAGAAATAGCACATCTACAACCACCTGATCTTAACAAACCTGACAAAAACAAGTAATGAGGAAGAGATTCCCTATTTAATAAATGGTGCTGGGGAAACTGGCTAGCCATATACAGAAAACTGAAACTGGATCCCTTCCTTACACCTTATACAAAAACTAACTGAAGATGGATTTAAGACTTAAATATAAAATGCTACATCATAAAAATCCTAGAAGAAAACCTAGTACCATTCAGGACATAGGCATGGGCAAACACTTCATGATGAAAACACCAAAAGCAATTGTGACAAAAACCAAAATTGACAAATGGGATCTAATTAAAGTAAAGAAGTTCTGCACAGCAAAAGAAACTAGCATTAGCATGAACAGGTAAACTACAGAATGGGAGAAAAAATTTGCAATCTACCCATCTGCAAAAGGTCTGATATCCAGAATCTACAAAGATTTTTAAATAAATTTACAAGAAAAAAACAACCCCACAGAAAGTGGGCAAAGGATATGAACACTTCTCAAAAGAAGACATTTATGCAGCCAATAAGCATACAAAAAAACCCTCCTCATCACTGATCAGTAGAGAAATGCAAATCAAAACTACAGTGAGATACCATCTCATGCCAGTCAGAATGGTGATTATTAAAAAGTCAAGAAACAATAGATGCTGGTGAGGCTGTGGAGGAATAGGAATACTTTCACACTGTTGGTGGAAATGTAAATTAGTTCAACCATTGTGGAAGATATTGTGATTCCTCAAGGGTCTAGAACCAGAAATACCATTTGACCCAGCAATCCCATTACTAGGTATATACCCAAAGGAATATAAATCATTCTACTATTAGGACACATGCATATGTATATTTATTATAGCACTATTTACAATAGCAAAGACATGGAACCAACCCAAATGCCCATCAATGATAGACTGGATAAAGAAAATGTGGCACATAAACACCATGTAATACTATGCAGCCATAAAAATGAATTCATATCCTTTGCAGGGACATGGATGAAGCTGGAAGCCATAATCCTCAGCAAACTAACACAGGAAAAGAAAACCAAACACCACCTGTTCTCACTCATAAGCGGGAGTTGAACAATGAAACACATGGACACAGGGAGGGGAACATCACACACCAGGGACCGGGAGGGGTGGGGGACAAGGGGAGGGAGAGCATTAAGACAAACACATAATGCATGCAGGGCTTAAAACCTGCATGACTGATTGATAGGTGCAGCAAACCACCATAGCATATGTATACCTACGTAAAAAACCCCTGCACATTCTGCACATGTACCCCTGAGCATGTATCTGCACAAGTAAAATAAAATGAAGAGATTTTTTTACATTGCTAAAATATCACCATGTCATCATGCAGTTTCAGAATATACATATACACACACACAATCACACACCATATATACTATATTACATATAGTGTGTGTATAAATAAATACATATAAATATACATGTTGAGTGTGTGTGTAAATATATGTATACACATGCAGCACAAATATACATGATTATAATATGTAATAAGAATGAGACAGTATTACATTATTCCTAATAGAGATAATGCTTTTAAATGTCAGTAAAGAGTAATATTTCTCTCTTCAATTAATGGCCCTTTTATTTTGAGGACCAGGCTTTTCTCTTCCCTGATGTTCCTATTTAATATTCTTTTTTCTCTCAAGAAATATTCTTTCTTCCTTTACTGTCCATAATGAACTAACTACTATCTCCCTGCCATAGACATGTACTATCAATGCAGGCTATAATTTGACATCCTGAATTACAGATGCATGGCATTTGAAGTATATTTATACTTAATAAAGAGACTAAATGTTACTCAAAACTTTCTACATTACTTATTTCAAAAAACTGTACTTTAAGTCCAAATTTAGACCTATTTAGTAATTTTTAATCCATTTAACTGAAATAATTCTGTGGTTTTGTTTTTCTTTAATCAACCGAAAGAACAAATAGGTCATATTCTAGTGTGTTCTGAAATATTTAAGACTGATCTCAAAACTAATCTCAAAGATGATTCTCCCTGTGGCATAGAGTTTATGTTTACTTAATTAGTATGTATTTTTGAATCTAACCATTGTAGAAAATGAGCAATCTATTAGAAAATTTGCATTACTTTATTTGCTAAGGAACTTACTTTAAAATTTCACTTTTTTGAATGAACGACTTAATTTTTAATTTTTCTTTAGTTTTTAAATATTAGAATTGACACTCTAAATGTATTTTTAAATTTTTCTTTATTTGTTAAAACCTTAGCATAAATGACTTAAAAATTATCATTTTGTGCCAACATAAATGTTTTAGTCATTTGCTTTTAAATAGCCAAATTTTTGAGATTACTAGTAAAAATTATTTGAAAACAAATTTGTAGATAATAAAGATTAGCTAGAACTGTATATGTATGGTATAGTTACCACACAGTTTAATATGCAGCAAAAATGTATGATTGATATTTCTGAACTGTGTTCATTTTTCTGCCGTTTTCCAACTGATCAAAACGATTTTAGGAACGTATCCTTGTAAATAGGTACTAATTGATAATGGAAATAATTTTGTAATGGGCTACAAAGGATATTAATAATGAAGCCATATGTTTATGTTTGGATTTAAAACTTTTAAACCATTATTTGTTAAGTCATTTTGCTTTACCTTGAAGAACACAAACTGTTGTTTCAGTTTTTCAGACTAAGAACATCTTATTTACGGCAAGAAATATTTCATTAAGATGTTGTGCTATAATATGGGAAAATGTAAATCTTTTTCACAGTTTCTTTCAATGTGAAATAAAATTTTATTCTGACAAAAAAGAGGAAAAGTGGAATGCTTTCCCGCTAAGACTGAGAACAAGGGAAGGATTTTCACTCAATCCACATTGTACTGGAGGCCCAGCAAGTACAATAAGGTGAGAGAGGAAAACAATTTACAGATTAGAAAAGAAGAAACAACTGTCTTTATTCACAGGCAACATGATTGTCTACATAGAATATTCCAAAGAATCTACAGAAACAATACCAGAAGTTTAGCAATATCATAGTATATAAACCAATATGTAAAAATTAAATGTATTTCTCTATGCTAGCAATAAGCAATTGCAAATTACAAATTATAATTTAAAAGAATATACCATTTACAGTGGTATAAGAATCATTACATATTTAGAGAAAATCTAAGTGAAAAATTTTTATGAAGAAAACCACAGAACATTTATCCAGAAAAATAAGAAATAAATAAATAAATGTAGGGAG